TTATCAATCTGTAATAAAAGACGTGAGAAAATTCTGTCTTTTTTAAAGACAAAAATTTTTGAGGCGAAATACCCAAAAAGAAGTTTGTAAAAAAATATGTAAGGGTTTTATTGCCCATTATAATGCACTAGATGATATTTTACGCGCAAATTTACATTATACCGGATGCTTTAAAATTGGTGAATGGAAATAACAGCTGAGACAGCTTTTTTCCATTTTCCTCAATGTAAATCTTGTGAATTATTATTAAAATCCTAGTGATTTCCTTTCGATGCTGGTCATAAAATACACATCATTTGCCTTCAGCATAAAACAAACATTTTCCGGCCTTATGCATGGATTTTTCCGATTACATCGTGTATAAATTGTCGATCTTGTCATGGAATACGAGTGGTTTGGGGATAAATAAAGTGTTTTGAGTTTCATTCTCGATATGCGGCGTATAAAGAACAATCTCGATATTCCAAAAGCCTACAAGATAACTCTCGGAAATTTTTTCGCTCTCTCGGGCCAAATAACGTTCGATTTTGCTTCGTGTGCACTTCGGCCCGTGCGCTACAAGCTGAATGATTTAAATTCGAACAGTATCGAAACCCGTGAACTTTCACCGAAATAAATTTAATGAACAAAGATAATTATCCTTTTACTACGCGGTTGGAGGTTTTAATATTAGAGAAAGCTCAAATTGTTTTTATAGGCTGTAAAAAGTTTAAAAGGGTTCTACAGTGGGATTTTAATAAGAATCTACTGCCCGTTTCGGGCTTAAGCTCAGAATACTACGCGAAATGGCCTAATAATTTACTAAATTCGAGCGCGCGAATTTTAGTAATACGAACAAAGTTCCGGATTTAACATCACAATTGCCATTGGACGACCCGGAATAATGGAAAAATAACATTTTATTGCATTTAAGACAGGTTAGATATGGCCATTTCATTTCTACAAGTGGAGCGTGGAAATATTGTGCCTTTCAAGTGGGGAAATTTAGTTCCAGGATGGATTATTACATTGTTGAAACTGAAACTGATGAGTTTTCAGCACTTTTAGACCTTCGTGGAAAATTATTTTGTTCTGACGTTTTGCAAGCACGAGTGCATCTCAGAGGCGTTAAAGGCTCACATTTCAAAGTTTTAGCAGAAATTTCAGGTCATTATTACAGTCAATGAAAATGGCTCTTCAGATCAGAATAAATTTTCAATGGTCCAATTTATAAAGTTTTTAGAAGTTAGGAATAGAAAATTAACTAGCACTAGCAAGCAAGCAATAAATTCAGAAAAAAATTAAAAAGTGAAGGACGAAAAATAACGGGCAAAATTCTGCATAAACTCTCTCTAAGAGCGATAATTTCTCTGAAAAAATCTTAAACACCTAAAGCAAAAAATTCGAATACAGCTTGTTCAGCACAGGACCGTGAAATTGCGCTCAAGTTCGCTTGCACCTTCATTATTTTCCTTATATTATGTGCAGTTACCACGTCAATTTGCACTGAAATTGTTCGGTACCCTTTTTTTTTACTTTTTTTTTTGTCTTTCACCCGACAGCAAGTTTAATTTTTATTAGTCCCAATAGCATGGAATGGTAGTTTTCCCCAAAGTCTCACTTAACTGATTTAATTCTGATGGTATTTTTGACAATTATTAGAATCAGCTTTCCATTTTTTCCTCAAAGCCCGTGGTAGATATGGATCATTAATGAATTAATTTTCCGTTGCCAAAATGCCGCAAAAAATTTGAGGTGGAATAACAGAAGACGTCACTAATCCTATCTATGGCCTCTAAATCCATATTTTTAGCTAAATTTTGCAAAAGCTATCAGGAAATGCATGAAAAGTCTGTGTGAGTGTCACATGTGGCTTTAACATCTCTGCAGATGCATGCATGAAACATCGAGAGAAAGGTATTTTCCACGATGGCTTAAAACCCCGAAAAAGCCACCAGTTTTGAGTAATTTTTATTTTTGGAAAGAAAGTATTTTTGGAAATGACACTGTTTACGTGAAGGAAAAATTAACATAGATGATGATTAAGAAAGGATAATAAAATACAATTAATATTAAAAAAAAACAACAATAAAACAAATCTAGTTTCAACGTCGTCATTGCATAAATAACAAAAAATCTTGTTATTAAAACCGTAAACTTGGAAGCCTTCCATGGTGGAAACCTTAACTCTAATCGTACAGGAGATCAGTTCCACTTATTAAAGTTGCTAATAACGCGTCAGTTTTAAACACAATATGGATCCGGGAACGAGCGCATTAAACATAAAAGCTGAAACGAAAAGGGCCTTTGGAGTTAGAACGCATCCGGTTTTCGGGCTAACTCTCAAATATACAACGTGAAATTGCTTTTAGAACCTTATAAAATTAGAATGGAACTTTGTGCGTGAAAATTAGTAGCAGGAGTAATGGTTGTTGCTTTGAATTAATCCACCTGACCAACTTTCGCCTGAACACTAAAAGGCGTTGGTGGTACATAAAGTTAAGGTTCATAGAATTTTAGAATAACGTGAGTTTGGTGTGAAATTGCACAATTGCGGAAGGTTTTAGCTAAGCAAACACAAGCTGGAGTGTTTGTAGGTTTTATCGACGAAATAACACCATCCGGTAAAAGTGGGGAATGGCTAGAAAATGCCATGCTAAACCAGCCAAAACAGCGGTTAAAGAAAATGAATTTTACATCCGGAACATTTACGACAGCTAGCTGTTCAAAGAGGATTCTATTGGCTCATTTTGTATTCTTGATAGAAATTCGAAGTTGAGAATCCGTTTATCGTTAGAGCCATATTATTACATCATTCAGTCAGCCCGTAGAATACGGCACTTTGGCACAACATAGGGACGCTCTTAATTGTTTGATTTCGCCCACAAAAGGATTTATTCAAATACCCAGAAATCCAATAACAATACGACTTGAGTAGTGTTCCAACCCAAACGAAATTCTATCAACAAGGTTAACTTAGTTAGTAGCAAAATGAAGTTAAAATTCAATTTGAAATACTGTTTTTGTTAACGGCTGTTTTGTCTTCGAAATGGGCGCTGTATTTTCAATTTTATTAGCGAATCCACTGTTGTAAATCGCCGGAAAACCCTATTCGCGTGGCGTTATTTTAGCGGGTCAAAATAATTAGAAGCCATAAAGCTTTGCTAAAGGCTTTTGAACTAATGTTTTGAATATACATAAGAGACTCAGGATTAGGTAATTATAAAGCGTCTCGAGGGCCTTCTTAGATACTTAGTTGACCCATTAAAGGGCGTGAAACTAACTTGTGTTTTACCACCCTTATTATGTTAACGATATAAAATGTCTTCTGGCTTATTAAATTTTGCACTCAATGGATTGTTGATGGTTGGTTCATTTTAGTGGGTTTTCAATGAAACAGTTGCTAGAGTTAGAGTAGTTTATTCAGATATTTTTGGCAATTCCAAATAATCCTCTCTCGTAAAACTATCTGTCTATTAAATGCAGCTAACAGAGTCAAAGTAGTCGAACTCTGAGCAGGAATTCGCCGTTGTTTTGATGTGCGTAAATGGATAAAAAAAATGAATATCCAATAGGCCAAAAATTCATGTTCCATGTATGAGGCCGTAAAGTATTTTTGTTTCTTTTGCCACTGCCAGGCTGACATACTCGGAACGTAATTTCAAATACGAGTGCTTTATGCTGAGTATCGTAAAAATGTTATATTGCCATCATATTGCGGACCGACTAACCAAAATGTAACGTTCATAATCTTATAAATAAATACATAGTTACGGCATGTGTGGCCTAGGAATGTTTGTGATTTGGCCTGAATTTACGGACGGCAAACAAAACAATCTTGAAGGGAGAATTTCAGTTTCAAAATAGTTTCATGATATCAACAAGTTTTAACACGAAAACAGGCAAAGCTCATTTAATGAATAATTTTATTCATTCACACTACACTCATTCAGATTTGGTTCTGACGTTTCGC